CAATATTATCCACGTCTTTATCGATAGTATCATCGGCATCCTTTGGATCGTTTAACGTAGAATCGGCACTAAGCTTCTCATTACAGTTATTATTTCTAGCATTTACCGCGTCTTGCAAATTATTACCTTGCTCATATATCTTTTTAAAACTGAGCCCATTCTCGAGGCTGTCTGTTTCCGCCTGTTCCACGTTTTCGGACGTAAGATTGTCACCGCCAAATGGATCCTCCGCGTCTATAGACTGGCCTTCAATCTGAGAATCGTCCTGTTTGTCATGAGGGAATTGTATAAACTCTGTGTTTTCGGGCTCAATGTTCTTCTCAGACACATCCTTTTCAGAATTTTCTAAATTACTGTCTGAAGATTCTGATTCCACTTTTTTCTCCAACGCAGCTTCAATCTGTAACACTTGCATGTCATCAGCATTATTACTTGATTCATCTGGGATATCACAATCTTTAGTATTTTCTTTAGATGATGTTTCAGATTCGTCTACAACATCGTCAGTAGATTTCCTATTGTCATTTATAGTATCATCTTGAACTTTACAAGAGTCATTAAGGGTTAATGAAATCTCTGGGTCACATATGTCGGTTAAATTGGATATATCTAGTTCTGCCATTTCCGCAGTTACATGAATCGATTCGTTTTCTTTGCAGGAACTTTCAACTGCAGTATTCTCTTCAGTTGTTTCGATTGCGTTATTCTCTCCGATTGTTTCAACTGTATTAATCTCTCCGACTGTTTCAAATACATTAGTCTTTCCGATTGTTTCAACTACGTTGCTTTCTTCAATTGTATCGACCGCGTTATTCTCTTCGATTGTTTCGATTGCGTTATTCTCTTCAGTTGTTTCAACTGTGTCACTCTTTTTGGTCGTTTCGATCGCGTTATTCTCTTCAGTTGTTTCAACTATGTTATTTTTTTCGGTTATTTCGACTGCGTTATTCTCTTCAGTTGTTTCAACTGCATTATTCTCGGTTGTTTCGATTGCATTATTCTCCTCGGTTGTTTCGACTGCGTTATTCTCTTCAATTGTTTCGACTGGATTATTCTCTTCAGTTGTTTCGACTGCGTTATTTTCTTCGATTGTTTCGACTGCGTTATTTTCTTCGGTTGTTTCGACTGCGTTATTTTCTTCGGTTATTTCGACTGCGTTATTCTCTTCGGTTGTTTGGACTGCGTTATTCTCTTCGGTTGTCTCGATTGCGTTATTCTCTTCGGTTGTTTCAATTTTATAATTTTCTTCAAATGTTTCGACTGTATTATTTTCTTCAGTTGTTTTGATTGCATTAGTCTCTTCGATCATCACAGCCTCACTGCTATTTTCAGATAATGCTACATCAACTGCTGCTTCAATTTTTGTATTGTATTCCTCAGTGGTTTCTAAAGATGTATTAGAATCATTCGCTTCCACATTTGATATAAACGATTCTTTATCATAGGCTATTGCAGTTTCTTTAATTAATTTTTTTGTTTCATCAAGCACTTGTAAAATATCTTTATCATACTGTGATAATTCAGGCTCCTTATTTTCTACAACTTTTTCAATACAGCTTTCAGTATTTTTTTCTTTATTCTCGGAGTTGCTTACAGTTTCTGGTTGAAATACAATACCAATATCCTCCGAAGATACTGGATCATCTACCGGATCGTCGTTGGAATCCATTATCGCTTTTGGATCGTCCATTAAGGATATCTAGAAACGTATGATAAATTTAAATAATAAAACATTCGCAGCTTTATAACAAGATACTTATTTATATCGTCTAGAAATTTAACAATGTGATTAATTACACACAAGATAAACATTATTTTTAATACATTCCCGTTATATTTATTATATTCTTTGTCAAAAAGAACACAAACATGATACAGTGCATGGATTCTTGAAAATATGTTTAACAAAAAACGAGCAGTGCTTTGAATATAGTAGAGGATAAACCTCGAAAGGAGCAAGAAAATAAAGAGATAACATCATAGATACGAGCCGATATCAACCATCAACATTGTTCGCAGGAATACCGTATAGGTTAGGCGAAAGTCCCGCTCGCGTCGTCACGCGTTTCCCTACCTGATACTGTCAAAGTAGGCAGTCGTCGATTCGATATCGTCGAGCTCAAGTCAGTTTAGGCTTCAACGGGACGAAATGCCGCGAACACGTCACGTATCGAACGATACCGCGTATCCATTAGCAAATATTCACATACGACCGTCTGCTGCTTCACTAGGCTAGCCGGGGAACACGGCGAAGTGACGCGCAATCTGTGCAACGACGCGACGCCAGGAATCCCTGCTAACTTCACGTCTTCACACCCCAAATCGCGCGAGTCGTTCAAATCGAACGACGCGATTATCGAGAATCCGTGAAGTCCAGAGCACCGGTTACAACGACGCACAGCGACGTTCAATCGATGCAATCGAAGATCGAACCGGCGCGGCGTGGCAACGACTGGCAACGACTGTACGCTAATTGTGGTTAACTTCGTCCCGCAAAAATTCCGATCGCGAAAAGAAAAGGATATTGCTTGCTTGTCCAGAATGTCCAGATGGATTCGCGCGTAAAAATACACGGAGGGGCGACGACCAATCGCACGCGTAAACGCTGTAAAATGGTCTTCGTATTCAGATTCACGATTGGTAGTGACCGACTGTGATAAGATTTCTCTCTAAAACTTCAGACCTGTTCTGTTAAATTTAATAGAAAACAATTATATAACAGAAAATTAACAGATAATTATTTGAACAAAAAATTATTTAATTATTCTCGATTAAGTTAATTATTTTCTGTTAAATTTCTTTTTTCTTTTTTTGTTATATTCGTGACGAGATAAATCGCGAGGATAAAAATTTGAATGTAGTGTCACATTTAAAAATGAATATCACTCGTATCAGATTCTTGTTATAGAATATATAGATTCTTCAAATTAGATGTTTTGAAAGCACTGTTTTCTATTTGAACAAAATTAAATTGTCACACAGTAGATGTCGTTCTATCTTTCGTATTCACTGAAAGAATGATTCAGAACTCTAAGAAAGAATAATTGGTTTTCAATCAAATCATCAAATTCGATGTTTGTGTCGACTTGTGTTACTAAATGGAAAGCATCTATTCTTGTTGAACATTCCTCTAAGAATTCCAGATTCTTCTTATTGTTAGTACCTCAGGATACCCTGGACCACTGGACATCCCAAGGACCTCCATTTCAAGTCCAAATCACATTTGCACATCCATGGACATAAAATGGACATTCGTCGGATGTTTATCAGTATTGTATCAGTACATATTTTATCAGTATTGTTATCCAAATAAAATTAGTTAATTCCAAAAAATAAATTGTAATACTTTTTATAAACTACTCAATACTTTTAAACATTTTTAATCAAATTTAAAATTGAGGACACACACTCGCTCTTATTGCAATACTGGGCTAACTCACATTTAGTGAAAGCTAAGAAAATTAACAAAATAGTAATCAGAAGATATATTGGATGGTAGCGTATTCCAATAAACACCTATTATCACACAGTAATCACTATTGCAGCAAGCTTTTCAAAAGGAAAAGATGTCCAAAATTAGTATATAACACGTCCATAATAGCTAGGTCCAAAATTGGATATGTTTTGGATATTCTATGGACGTACAAAGTTGTTGCAAATGTATCCCGTGGACGTCCACAGGACGTCCAACGGACATAATTTGGACTTCCTATGAACATCCCAGTGTCCAGAATCGAAAGTCCAATGGACGTACAATGGACGTCCTTGTGCTATCTGGGACTAGCCTTGTTACAAGAATTATTGAAGCGTTACTATGTTTTAAACTAATTATATATTTTTTATGTAAAAAAGATAAGATAATAAAATTTTTTTACTTTTTAATATTTATATTTTTTATATTGATGAATATTTTTTTGTTTTATCATCATTTCCTTTACTTTCATAGTAATTTGTGGGTGTGTTCCAATTCTTTTAATTCTTTCAGTAAGAAATGTTGATATTTCTAATGTTAGGTAAATGACAACTATTTTCGCGGAATAATAATAATAAACGAAAAAATGCCAAACTGAAGGAAAAACTTAACCAAAAACGGAGCCTTTTTTTTAATATATCGAAGCCAATCGAATGTTTTTTCGCAGATTTCCTAAATTCCTTCTGCACACACACACACACACACACACACACACGCACGCACGCACGCACGCACGCACGCACGCACGCACGCACACTTCCAGATCCCATTTTGAAGAAAATATCATAAATTTCAAAGACAAAGATTTACAAAAGAACATCTACAAAAATATTACAGACTATTACAGAATATATATGAATATATGAATATTTACAAAATATAATGTTATTTATCGCCGTCCGAAAGCAATCGTGTCAAGCGCGCGATTTTTAAAACAAAACCCAGCGCGATCCCGATTTATTTACCCATTTACCGTTTCGAGGACAATTCAAGCGAGCGAATCACCGTGAAAGGAGGCCACCGTGGGGATGGAATCTGATGCTGTCATTGGACGATCAATTCACAGCGTGCGCCTAACTTCACGGTGTTTCCGCGGAATCGAATTCCGATTATTCCGAAACCATCAGCGTTTCTTTTGCGAAACGCTCTCCCTTTTGAGACTTCCAGGTTCAACAGCTACAGTGACATCGGCCGATCGGTGTCGAGAAAGCGCGCAAGTGCGTTCCGTTTGCAATTTATAGAATACGTAGAAGGCGCCGAGTGTGCCGATAAGCAAACAGGGCGGCTCGGCCGAGTTCAATGACCGCGCGTGAGTACTCAAGTGTTCGCGCGCGAGTGCACGCGAGTACCGTGGATCACAGTGGTGGATCGGTGGATGTCGTGCGCATCTCGTATCTCCAACAATTCGTTTCAGAAGATTCCCGAGATTCGCACCGGACTGTACTGAACTGGAGTGCGATGAGATCTTGCGTTTGAAGAGAGGTGCGGGTTGTTGTGAGCCAGTCAGGTGGGTAATCGCTTCGTCGGAACGACACTCGGCAGTGCTTGGTAGATCCGCTCAGCTTGTGTCGCTTCTACCGAATTAACGGATAATCGTGTTATAGAATAAGTGTCCAAGGATTCTACTTGTTAGCGACGAAGGAGTTAGTAACAAGGAATTTGCATCAACCGTCGGCAGAGACAAAACTGTTGGGGCGTGCTGACACGGTTCCGAAAAGGAGGACTTAACGAAGAAGGTCGCGACGACCGTGGTGAAGAAAGAAAGAGGAGCATCACTCGGCGACACTCGGGCTCGGGTCGAGGCGCAAGGTGGTGCGTGACGTTTACGTCGCGCGGTGACACGCGTTTTAACGAGCGGAGCGCCGAGCGAGTTGGAGAGGGCGAGCAGGAAGGACGGACGGATACGTGCGCGCGCGCGCGTACTCGACGACGCACACATCGCATCCAAAGTGTGTTTATTGCCTGGCACAAAGAATTGAGTGTGCTTCCTGCACCAGGAGGTTGTGTTGCGGCTGCACTCCGGTTGGCTGTTGTCGTCGAGGCGGCACTCGCGATCGCAGGAACCGGAGCTCCGCTCTGCCCGAAAGCACGTATTTCTCTCTCCTTTTTCCCTCTCTCTCTCTCTCTCTCTCTCTCTCTCTCTCTCTCTCCCCTTCTTCATAGTGAACGCGCGCTCGACTCATCATCCAAGGTATTTCAAAGAACGACGCGTCGTCGATCATCGTTACGGCGGAAGAGAAACGAGAAAATGGCCGACAATTGGACGCAGAATATCGCTTGCCGGTAAGAGACTATAACGGGCATTTCGCGCGTCTTGTGTTTCGCAGAGAGATTCCTCGCGAGAGATATTTGCGCACCCAGTTGAAATTTACGTAAACCGAGATGGAGAGGTTAGTCGCCTTAGGGAATAGCAACGTTCGATCGACACACTCGAACACAATAATATAAATATTGACACTAGGCGGATATTCGTCTCTCTTGTCGTTACGGATCTCATGACGATTTCAAACGCGACAGGCGTTTCTCGCGAACACGCGTCTCGTCGATGATTTTTGTCCTGTGCTTTTTTTGCCTAACGAGTAATGACATGTTTTGTTTTAGATACTTCAAGAATGGCACTTGCCGCGAGGGGAACAACTGCCGGTATCGACATGTACAAGGGAATAGAAATGATGCAAGTATCAACGAGGCAACATCAACCCATAGCTCTGCTTATATTGTCACTTGTCGCTTCTTCAAACAGGGAATGTGTAAGTTCGGTAGTCAGTGCCGTTTCCGCCACAGTTCAGGTACCACAGATAGCAATGCCATGCAGATAGATGCAACGGAGAATGCAGTCTCGGGTCAGCATACATCAAACTCTTCGAGAAATAAGTAAGTTTAGGTATTCAACTCATAAATTCTATTTATGCATTCGGTTCTAAATCTAGAAACTCTAGGCTTGTTTTTTTAGCTGAACCAAACGTAGAAAGAAAAGGAAGAAAGATGAACCATGCAAGAATGTTAACTAAAAAGAGCAGACCTTCTGTAACACACACAGAACCCCATTATTTTGTAACTTTTAGGTCAGGTTTTTTTATTGTCTGACTAACATGTAGTTTAGACTTAATTCGACCTCACTTAATGTAAAAATTGTGTTTTCTCTAGTTATGATTAATCATTAAATTAATGATTTTGTACTAGTAACTTTAAAAGTCATTCACTATAAAATCATCAGTTTAGTGATTATGGCTGCGGTCCACTTAGTGCTTCAAACGCTACAGAGCATTTGTAGCACTGATATGACTGGTCCATTTGATGCTTCGGAACGCTCCCAGCAACTCTGATTACGTCATCAATACATCATCGTTTTTGCTCCTACTTTGCTTCAACTGCCTCACTTCGGGAGGTGGGTTGGCTGGAGCGTTCACGTAGCAATTGTAGCATTCGAAATAGTAATGGACCAATCGGAGCGTAGCGTTTGGAGCATAACGTTTAGAGCATTTGGAAGAAGCAAGTGGACCGCAGCCTATATATTAACCATAGGTAGAAAAATTTAATTTTTATATTAACGTCAGGTTAAGCCTAACTACAAGTTAACCAGGAAATGAAAAACTGGGCCTTTATGGCAATAACGGTATCGTTATATTGTTGCACGGGTTTTATACGTTTTAAAAAAGCTATGCAACGAAACAGCTGCATTCAGCAGAAAAAACTGATCATTGAATGTTCAGTGAGTTTAATACGAAATTGATTCCTACACTTGGATCTCGTGAAGAACTGAAGGCAGAACCAATCATGTTAAAGAATCACTGAGTAGATTTCTCTGCTAAACTCAGCCAATGTAACGATGCTGATATTGTCATTAAACGAGTTATAGAATAGAGAACAAAGTTTGGCTACGAGCAATTTTGTCAAAAACCCTATGAGAAAGATTATATATATATATATATATATATATATTTTCTTGTATATATACTGTCTCACTCTGTAATCTTAGGACTTTATTCTATAATTTAACGCATAATTAAAAAGCATAAACAATAGGAACAGAGAATAAGAGACTTCAACCTGTCAGAAATCGTGTGTACTAGAATGCATGGTTTCTGATAGGTTGAAATCTGTTTGTTATTTATTGATTAATAAATCACTGATAATTTTGTTGCACTTCAATTACTGCACTTGACTCTTGCCAGTGTATTTTTCCTTATTTATTGTTAATATTAGAGAATCTTATTTCGTCACTTCTTACGCTTAAAATAAAAATTTATTCTGATATCACCCGCGATATGTACTGTAGGGCAGTTAGGTGTACATAATTTTATTAACAAAACTTTTCAAGAATCAATTTCCAAAATCTCTGTACAAATCTTTCCAGCAGTATAAGAAAGAAATCCCAAAAAGTTTCGTAAAAAAATATTATTTCTTCGAGAAGAAAAACCAACATAACTGACTTAGATCTACACTTGTATATGAATTTTTTTATATTGAAATTATGGCTAAATAGCGATGTCTCACCCGATGTATACTATAATGCAGTTGAGGTGCACATAATTTTATTTATTATAATTTTTGAAGAAATTTGCAAAATCGGCTCTGTACGAGCCTTTGCTTCATAAAAAAATTAATCAAAAAGATTTTATGACGTAATATTATTTCTTGGAGATAAAATATCAGCATAAAAATATGTATCTGTACCGTAAATAAGGAGCATATAATTTTATTTATTAAAATGTTTTTAAGAATGAAATTGCAAAATTTCATGATGTATGTAGCTGCACCGCAAATAAGGTGTAAATGAATTGGCTTGTCACACCTGTCAAACCTTAAGGTTACACACACAGTGAGATAATATAAATTAGACTGAGATAGTATATAAATTTACAGGAAGAATATATATATATATATATATACACACGCTAGCTAAATCATACATGTAATGATCTGTGTAATTGTAGAAAAGCTGAAAAACGTACTGCCGAAGAATGGGTCAAGGCACCTGAGTTTGTACCTACGACTGGATCTCCAATCGCTGGATCATCTTCTATAGATGGAATGTCATCTACTTCAGGAACATCCCCAAGCACGTCGATGCCAGTCTCGTATGCTCAAGCTGTTAATCCAACTGGTCAAGCTTCGAGCCCCTCCTTAGAACCTCTGTGTCCTTATGCAGAAGCAACTGGAATCTGTAGAAATTCAAATTGCACATATCTACACGGTGACATTTGCGAATTTTGTAGCCGTGCAGTCCTTCATCCACACAATGAAGAATTGAGGAAGAAACATAACAATGTAAGTTCTCTTACTTCGTTGTTATCTTACTAATTATATTGAATTAACTTAAATATTTTATGGGTTATATTCTGTATGTCTATTTTTTGCATGAGGTAGATATTAAGGGGTGATCCCGATTGATCACGGCTCGATTGGACACCACCAATCACAGCGACCAGGTGCCTAGGAGCTTTGTAGTCTCAAGCGCTGTGAGTGGCTCGTGTCCAATTGAGCCGTGTCCAACTGGGTGCCACCCGATATTAAGAGAGAGCAAATTGAACGATTTTTAAATTTCTAAGACTATGCGCACAAAGGATGATTAGGAAAAAAATATTAAATATTAGATATAGAAACGTAATGCACAATGGATACAAATAAAATATAAAATATACAAATTTGTCTTCTATTTTATTTGTATCTATTATGCATTACGTTTTATCTCTATTTCCAATTTTTTCATTTCTAATATTTAATATTTATTTTTGTTTTAAATATTTCTTCTATTGTGTGTACGGCCTAACTGTATTTTCGATAACTTAATACTTATTAAGATTTGTATGTTAAATATTTATTAAGTTTATTATATATATCGAATATATTTGCTAAAGAATGATATTTTAACTTTTTATACAGGCATGCGTAAAGCAACATGAAGCAGATATGGAATTATCCTTTGCCATTCAACGCAGCAAAGAAAAATCTTGCGGCGTCTGTTTCGAGACAATAATGGAAAAGTCGTCGCGAGAACAGAGATTTGGTATATTGCCGAATTGCAATCACTGTTTCTGCCTAACTTGCATCAGAAAGTGGCGCCAAGCCAAACAGTTCGACAACAAAATCATAAGAGCATGCCCAGAATGCCGTATCCCCTCAGATTTCGTCTGCCCTAGTATGTACTGGGTGGACACAAAGGAGGAGAAGGAAAAATTAATAAGAGATTACAAAGGCGCCTTGAGGTACGAGATAATCGATAATCTATCTTTATTTTACCATGTTCTAACAATTTGTCTTTTCTCTTACAGTACTAAGGATTGCAAGTATTTCAACAAAGGTCGTGGAAAATGTCCGTTCGGTAATAAATGTTTCTATCTCCATGCACTTCCGGACGGAACTAAGAAAGACGTGGGTCCACCGGTTCGACAGAGGCGCAACACCACTGACACCGATATCGACATCTTGCACGTAAGTATTGCTTACAATTTACAAAAGTATATTTGTTTTGATCACGGATAAACGCGTTTCATTTAAAATATCATCGGAACAAGCGATTTAGAATTCTCCGTATCGAACACAGTCGAGCTACATCTGTTTACATACTTTACATACTTTGTACTTTAGTATATATATACGCAGAACGTGAAAGAGCGGTTTTGCACTATTTACAGCAACTAATCTTGTGGGATTTCTTCGATGAAAGGGACGATCGTTGGATGTATCTTGATTTAGAAGATATCCCTTTCTTCTCAGATTCCGACGATTCCGATTGGTCCGATTATGAACTGTCGTTCGATTAGACGAGCAAAACTAGTCGACCGACACAAAACTGCCTTGATACCACTGTTATCATGCTACTCTGTTGCTCTATGTCGATACCTACTTCCTTTATCATTTATGCGCGGCTTTAGCGACTAAGAAAATTACTCGATAATTAGCAAATAATTTGAATTATTATAATTCGAAGACGTTCTAGTTACGTAGAAGAAAAAATAGAAAACAAGAAAAACATGCGCACTTTCCTAAAATTATAATTTATATATATAAAAAAACTATTTAGTTGTTTACCGTCAAAATAGTCAAAACGCTTTCTTTTCTTTCTTTCGCAGATAATATTTATAAGTTTTTTATTTCTGCATAAGATGGTAATAGTTGTTAAAATTTCTACCCGCGCGCAACAATAGAAAAATTGTATTAACATTTTAATAGAATAAATATAAAGTGACATTTTAATAACTATTATTTTCAACACCATAGAAATAATCTTTTAAATATTGTCTATAAAAAGAATGTGTTCTTTACTATTTTAATGGTAACTGTATACTTGTGTATAAATAATTACGAGATCCACAATTTCAATAATTATTGCGGTACATAATCGAGCACAAAAAAAATAAAAGGCAGGAAATATGGACAGTAAAAATTTCCTTGAATATGCATCGTAACTTTGAAGTCACTTTTGTGTAACTTGACCAATGCTCTACTAACTGATTGTTCCAGCACTACTAATTCAGTGGTCCAAATTTTATCAGTGAATAGATCGATATTTTTCCGATGTTCGTTTCCTCGTAGAGTAATATATCCGTTTTTCCCGATACTAATTATTATTGATATATCACAATGCATGATCTGGAATACGTCTATACATTAAATCGAATTGTAGAATAAGTAAGTCAATGCATAACCAGAATTTTAGTTGATTATCATCAGTGAAATATAAAAAAAAAAGTCTTTTTTGCTCTTTTTCATAAGCAGAAAGGTATATCAAAATAGTTGAAGGGTAGTTTAATTGTAGCTTTTTTTGATTAAGGCTTCTTTTCATTTAAAGCAAATAGATTAGATTTACTCTATTTTGTAATTTCAATAAACATTTGTCATCCAATGTTACATTATTGTGCGTACTTAATCAACATGTAAAAACTATGGAGAATGTGCTAACATGGGATTTAAACAAAATTCTCAACAATGCAAATTATCGTTTAAATCGATTTTACTGGGCTTTATTTGTATTTGTAATAAATGGATATTTATTACAAATACATACAGTGGGCATGTTTTGTGATTGCAATATAATATTGCGCTTGATGTGAAGGATAAATAAAATCAATTATGTGTGTCATGTTCACAAATATAATTCTGACGCAACAGTGCTATAAAAAATGCATGTTGCATTCAATAATAAAATCTTTAAGTATAAACTATCACTATTGCAATTACAAAACAGATATAACACGTCGAGGATTCATAATACTTACTATTCACATATAAAATAGAAGAACTGGACAACGATTTATTACTTGTGTGATCAGTGTGCATTGTTAGTTCAATTTATCACTAGTTCATATCGAAGGTACGATCTACAACTGTCGTCCTACCTCTTGCTATGGCTCCGCGAATCTTTATACATATATACAATACATTTCTTTAAATTATTATAAAGTTGTTTAGCGTTACTCGTGAGTAATGGGTATTCTTTTGAGAGCAAGTGTGCAAAGTGAATGTGATGCATGTGTAAGAATGCGAGCGTATTGATGTGCGGTATTTGTGTGCGTGTGCGTAAATGTGCGAATGAGAAGTACGAATATGAAAAAAAATTTGTGAGAAAGAGACGAGACTATGGATAGCATATATGCGGGACGAATAACAACAAATGTAATAAAAAGAAGCTTTGTGAGAAGTATGCATTTGTAGATTGGAGATTTAAAAAAAAAAAGAACAGTAGAAGTACGCACGACGGAGTTGGACCCACGACAGAGCCATGCTGGGAATCATCGTCGATCGTTTTTACATTTTATCGATTTACTAATAATAGCAACTCGTTCCGACAACCGTTCTCTCGATATAGAACCATGATAATTACGCTTTGAAGGGCATAGAATTCTTTTGTGTAAAACTGACGAGATGATAATACGTAAAAATATAATACACCAAAGAGATACGATATTCACCCTCTAGCATTGAATATTCCGTGTGATGTCATTTTTTTTTAACCTTTCGCTATGAATGATCTTTTTGCAATATATTTATGACAAATAATTACATTCTACATATAGTTCTTGCTCGCACTTACAATCTGATTCGTATTCATGATAGGAAGTGAACAGCTTTTACAACAGAGAACCGTCGGTACTGCCTTTCAAAAGCTATGTGATTATAGAGTAATATATCATTCATTGCGCTATTATAAGGTCAGTTTCTTAATCCGCCTCGATAAAGCGTTTTATCGGCTCGAACTTTCGCTATGCCATGAGAATATCGTTTATATATTTCCCATAGAATTTCTATATTGTTAATTTTATCGACAATTGTTAGAATAAAACGCTTTATATTGTTACCGGTAATGTATAATAGAAACTTTCTATGATACGCTGTGCGTTTCGAGCGGCTATTTTTCGAGCTACTTTCTTTAACAATCACAAATTTCCCGATGAGGGAAACAAAAGTAAAACGCTTAAGCGATATTGGATTGTAAGATAGCGGAATGTACGATCGGTGAGTCGATTGAGAATTCTTAAGTCGGTAATAATTTTGTGAATGATAATGAATTTACGATGAAAAACGTTTTTAATGTTAGCACGTTTAGTACCAGTATACATATCGCCGTTGTAGGAGGAAAGTTAATTGCGTTGATCGTTGCACGTATTTGTCGTCACTATCATTTTTATTTATTTTCAGTTAAGCGCGATGCATTTACTGCATTATTATGCTCTAAATGCATGAAATGCGAAAGGATATAAAATTAGCAGTTGATGTCTATCAAGTCGTTTAACGACATTCAGCGCAGTTTGCCTTGATTTTGGCGATGCATTTTCGGAGTTAACTTTGGAGTTCACTCGCGTATATAATACATAGAGTACATAGTGATTCTAAAATCGAGATTCCACTGTATGATTTTTTTTGTTTTGTCAACAATGCGAAGAGAGTAAGGGATGGCCGATTTACTGATTCATTCAGATTATTATTCGAACGAGATAGCGAACGTTAGAACGATATTCTTAATAACTTCAATCCTATTCTCAGGATGGTTTCATTAAACTAGTTTAGAAATTATATAGAATTTACGGAACAACCGCGTGCGTTATATCTCTGCGTGCAGAATTCAATCGCCAAGATTCTACCGCAAGTGTGCATTAATGTGAATTAATTGTACTAAACGTACCTGCATTGAATACTTTATTGCGTAGTGACAAGTATTCTTTTTCCCTTTAACAACTTAAATACGCCTTACAGATTGTTACGTAATTCATTTATATAAGTTGAGATCGAGCGTCTCTAATAATCTTTCTATTTTTTTTCTTTCGGCTCTTACGGAGTGCGGTTCTTTAGGAATAACATTGTTGTGCCGATTGTGCCGATTTTATTTTTCAGCGTATTATTTATTTTTATTCAGCGTGTTAAACGTGTATTTTATCGTGTGTGCCGGAAACGCTCAAAGAGTTTTGCGAGTTAAGAAAGAAGAGTTACACTTAAGTCTTTTCGTTTTTAAGGGAGGTAATTTGTTGATATCACGCTAAATTTCTATACGTAATTAAACCTTATATTTTTGTAACTTGTCGCGTCGAACTACGTTATGTAATAAAGGCTCTATAAAGCGGATATAATAAGATATACGATTAAAAATCTTATATTTGTTAGATAGCGCACCACCATGAAAAGGTAAAATCGACGTTGAAAACATTGTTGTGCCACAGCTTGTTTCTTACGTCTTTAATAGATCTTAGATTATTGTGAATGTTTTTTTAGCCAATAAATAATACGTAGATGAAGCAAACTGTGTTTTCACTGCATAATGCGAAAACAAATTGCGAATATTCGCATTATCTTATACCATCCTTTTTACACGTAAAAAAAGCAATTTATACACGGAAAGAATTTTCTTTTAAAATTTACCCTGAAAATATGAGTCATGGGACAACATCGTATTTCGAAGAATTTTATGTAAATCTCTCACTCACCAATAAAAAAAAACTACAATAAAATATAAAATAAGTTTGATTAATTTTACTGTAATGCACGGTAAACATCTTTAAAATATTGTATTGTACCACAACTATTATATTTTCAGAATAAATTTTAAGAAAAAATGCTTTCCGTGTATAGGGAAAATAATTCTATTAATCAAGGAAGTTAATTCTATTATATATATATAAGAAGAAAGAATGAGTCTCTCCCTCTGCCTAGGAGTTCTTTCCTTTTTTGTACTTTTCTTAATTGATAATGCGGTTGCGAAGCTGTGACAGGTTTGCTTTGCATTGTATCGCATTATCGCGGGCAAAATATAATTGCAAAATTATCTAAATGTGTTCAACGGTTTTCCGATGACGCCCAATTAAAGCATGTCAGATGTAAAAACGTATTAATTCTAGAGAGCGAATGAGCCGCAAAATATTGTATACGATCGCTCGCGAAACTTATGATAAAAATAAACACTTGCTTCTAGTAGATACGAGAATAATTACTTCCTAGAAGAACGAGGGAGAGAAGGAGGGGCGTGATCGAGTAATTCATATGTCGATTATATGTAAAACAAATTTTGGCGTATATCAGGGTGTCTATCACTACAAAATGCGGGAATTTTTGGCGAACTGTCTTATTGCACGTTATCTACATCAGCACACAAAAAGAACACTTGAAGTACCTGGAACATTTAGCTAGATCTGAAAATAATTTTATTGGACTGTCGAAACAATTATGTAAGACGTTTAAACATAACGTTGCAAAAAACTTTGACATTCTCGAACATCCCTTACATTCATATAGCACAGGAGCTTGCAGCATCATTTTCAATGTTATTGCAATGTTACTAAAATGATCCGTGCTATATTAATTATTTTGTTCCAATAATATTGTCGAGTTGTCCACAAAGTCCGTGTGAAGTTTCAAACCAAATTCGAATGAAACATTTTTTTAGCAAAAAATAATTTTAATATATTTACCATTTTGTTTCACAATATGTTTCTATCTTTTGAATAATTTTATAATTACTCTTTCGTAGAATTTTTTGGTTTTTGA